AGGAACCAATCCAGGCATTATCAATAACTGTATAGAAATAACCGATCTGATGATGGTCTTTTTTTTCGTTTGTTTAGTGGCCGCCGAAGATCCACAGGGTTTAAAAATATAGACATTCGGCCTTTATTTCAGTGTTTCATCCATTTCTGTGAAGGAAACTAAATGAAATAGTTATTTTAAAGTTTATATTATTATTTAAGATATAAAGTTAATGGAAGCCTTCATTCTCTGATAAACAGCCTCGTCCTGCCGTTGATATAACCTGATGGAGCTACTAGAACAATAGCTGAGCTTCAGGGACAAATATGTGGTTTTCATTGACAGAATCTAAGAATAGCGTGTTGCTGTCTTTGTTCCTCTTGCTCTCTGATTAACAGGACGTCTGTCTCTCTGTCTCAGGTGTTTGTATCGGGTACGAAGGTCCTGGCCTGTTGGACAGACTGTCGGTTCTACCCGGCCAAAATCCTCAGGGTCAACCGGGACGGTGAGGCTCGACGTCTGATGTTATGTTACTGTACAGTGATCGTAATCAGTTGATGTCCTTACAAAGTAAAGTGTGTGTGTGTGTGTGTGTGTGTGTCAGACTCCTACACGGTGCGTTTCTACGACGGCGTCGTTCGGACTGTGAAGCCCACCAAAGTAAAACCCTTCCAGGAAGTAAGAAATACTGCAATCCCATTGGTCCTCATCTAACTGGCTTCACCAATCACAACTCCATTGATCTGAACCGGTTTGTTTGTTTGTTTGTTTGTTTGTTTGTGTGGCGACACAGAAGTCCAGGTCTGAGAAGAGTGCGCTGGGAAGCGAGGGATGGGAGGAAGGGGAGAGCGAGGAGGAGGAGGATGGTAGAGAGAGAGAGGAGGAAGAGGAGAAGAAAGAGGAGGACATGGAGGAGAAGGTGACGTCAGAGGAGAAGGATGGAGCTGAGGAGGAGGAGGAGAGGAAGAGGAAGGCAGAGCCGTCATCCTCCCATCCACCAGCAAAGAAGAAAACAGACGACAGTAAGTTAAATGATGAAGGCGCAGAGAGAGTTTCAGTGCAGTGTAGGTGAGGAAGACGTCGGTAACGCTAACCAGTCGCTCCTCTCCCAGGCAGGAGCAGCGGAGCTCAGAGTGAGCCGATCACTGCCGACTGCACCCAGCCGGCTCCTTCTGACCCCGGCCACGTCGACAGAGGTAGACATCAGATACTGCGGCGTCACAATCTCACACATATATCACACCGCTCTGACTGTGAGGGTCGCAGTGAACGAGAAGAAGGTTTTAGTTTGAGCACGAGCACATTGAGTCAATGCAGAGACGAGATCAGATGCTCTCGGTCAGGGCTGCACGATAAAGTCTGTTTCCTTTCTCTCTCTCTCTGTCAGACGTCCTGTTGGAGCGTCAGGCCCACCTTCCCACCACACACAAATTCAGCAGAGAGCCACGTAAGAGCACGCACACACCATGCAAACTGTACACAAAGCCCTGTAACAGTTAGAACTGGGCTCCTACGCAGTATGGAAACAAAGGAAAGAGAGTTCCCACACGTCCTGGAGAACCTGGAAATTTACAGACTAGTTTTCTAGTCTTGGATTAATCTTTGTTGTTGTTGCTGCTGATTCCTTAAAGAGAGTGGGAACGCTGTTTTCTGTTCTAAAATGCAAAATTCAGAATTTCTAACTGCTACTGATAACAGTTGTACCAGATCTGGACATCTGGGACCAAATTAGTGTGATAGAATATGCTGCTATCTATATCTTTAATATCTTTGAAGTGTTTATATTACAACATAATAACAAATATAGTTTGAATGTAGCATGTTAACAGTTGGATCAAACCATTTATTTACATTCTAAAAACCTTGAACCTGAAACATTCACAGAGGCGTAAATGAAATGACGTATGTAGGAGCCCTGTTATAATTTTAACTGAAGGTGTAATAAAGTACACTATATATACGATATAGTACTGTAAGACGGACGCATCTGTCCTTTATTATTCATTAAGCTTTAAAGCACATACTGTATAACACTGTTGAAATGTTTCAATACTGGTGCCAGTACAATACTTGAGTTGGTAGTGGGTCCAAAACAAGTATTTTTATGAAACTATATGAAACATTTAACAAAATAAAGTTCTTAAACGTGAAACATTACTCAAAATTCAGTCTAAAGTGGACAAAATATATTTTTTAAAGCCAACTGATCAAAGAATATATAAACATCAGACATTTGATGCTCACTCTGTCGCTCTGCCTGTACCTCCGTCCCTTCTCCGCTCTCTCAGTGTACCGGGTCATAAAGAACCAGCCTCCTCCCATCCTCTCCATTGAGTTGGACCACAACCCCTTCAAGTGTCCCGCTGCGGGCTGCACCAAGTCCTTCAGGAAGGCGAGTCTGCTGCACTACCACATCAAGTACTACCACTCCGACCAGCAGCTGGACGAGCCAGGCAGCGAGCAGGAGGCGCCGAGGTGGGTCGACGGTTCGAATCCCGGAACAGAACCGGAGCTTTACAGAAAGTTAGCAGGAGGATCGTTGTGTTTAACTCTGACTGCGGTTGTTTGTAGGAGGAAGCGGTCGTCTGAGATGAATAATGAGGACCAGAACAATAGCTGTCACCATGACGACAGAGAGCACAGCGCCATGGGAACAGGTAGGACGGCTATCACGCACAAACACGCCGATAATGAACGCCACAATCAGTCCAGGCTTCAAACCAGGCACACAAATTAGATCGTTTTAAAAAGGGTAACACGAGGAAGTTTCTCTGCCCGTCTGTGAGCAGAAGTGAAGAAGGACGGAGAAAGGGAGAAAGCAGGAGGGCAGGACAGAAAGGAGAGGAAGAACTTCCTGAGAGTCAAACTGAAGAAGAAGAAAAAGAAGAAGAAGAAGAGGAGGAGTCAGTCAGGAGGTGAGAGTCAGTGTAATCGTCTCATGTCACATCAGAAGGATTCAGGAGGTTTGAGAACTCAGTCTTATCTTTGATCATATTAATGAGTTGTAAATGAGTTTAATGTGATTTCAGTCTGCAAAAGAAATCAGATAACAAAGCAAATAACTGGGAATGTGTCTGCAGAATAAGTGATTATGATAAATACGTATAATAATAATAATAATAAGTGTCTGCTGTTAACTGTGTCATCAAGAGGCCAAATCAGCTGCCAAACTACAGTAACTAACTTCCTGTTTGCACCTGTCACTTTCCTCGTGTGTCTCTCTTAAACTCTCCTGTGTCTCACAGTTTGAAAGCCCGCGCTGCAGCTGATCAATATGTGTATTATTAGTGGTATCAATCAGAGTATTGGGATAATGCCCACGTGTTGGTGAGAGTATTTATTGTTTCTTTCTCCTCGTCAGGACTCGGCAGCAGCGATGACGAGAACTCAGACAGACCTCCGATCACTCTGAAGCTGTCCTCTGAGCATCACAACACACACACGCAAGGTGGGAACTCACACACACACACACACACACACACACGCAAGGTGGGAACTCACTCACACACACACACACACACACACACACACACACACTGATTTTT